AAAGAAAACAAGTGCTGTGGGCTAATATCAGTGATGTCAAGCACACATCAGGTACTCTGATGCTTGAACAAAGACATTTCATCTCCATGGTATTCTCTGCAAAAACTTGCACTCCAATCTTTTTGTGAGAAAATATCAGACAAGCATTTTACGAGTTATCTGGCCACTATTCTTCAAGTCAAGGTCATGAAAAATGAGACAAGATTGACAAACTGTCATAGATTAGAGAGAGACACACCTAAATGCAATCAATGATCTGTAGGACCTAGAAATGTAAGTAGTAAAGTCCAAAGAAAGAGCAGAGTTTAAAAGTACTTTATCAATATAAGTTTCTTAGTTTTGACAAATGTACCATAGTAATGTAAAATATAACCAAGGTAAAACAGTGACAGATATTGGCTAACTACTATCTCTACACATTTTTATAAATGATTTTTTACAAAATCATTCCATACTTCAAAGTTCAGAACATGACTCTGGAAGGTTCTGCCACCAACTGCTCTGCTTAGAGGAGCTAATTTATAGGAACTTTTCAAACTCTTAAAAAAAAAAAATCCGTAAGTTTGGTCACCAGATCCTACATTACTAGATTTAGGAGTCATCCCTTTAAATTTAAAACCAATTGTTTTTAGCACTAATAACAGAAAGAATTATTTAACAAAATGGGACTATACAATAGCAGAATTCACTTCATAAGGAAAACAATAATTATGACTATTAGTTACTTCATTCATTCATTCCATGACAATAGTGTAATCTGACATGTTTTCAAACTCATATTAGAAAGAAAAAATAGCCATTTTGCAAAATGTGTCTGTGTTAGTTTTTGTTAACTTGACACAAACTAAAGACACCTGGAAAGAGGAAACCTTAGATGCCAGAATTTCCTCCATCAGATTGGCCTGTCTGTGGGGCCATTTTCTTGATTGCTAATTGATGTAAGAGGGTTGAGTCCACTGTGGCCAATGCCATCCCTGGACAGGTGGGCCTGGGCTATATAAGAAAGCAAGAAAACAGGCCAGCAGAAGCAAGCCACTGAGTAGTATTAATCCACAGTCTCTGATTCAGCTCCTGACGCCAAGATCCTGCCTCAAGCTCCTGAGCTGGCTTCCTTCAATGACTGACTGTAACCTATAAGATGAAATAAACTTTCCTCCTTAAGTTATTTTTGTTCAGTGTTCTATCACAGCAACAGAAAAGTAGACTTGGACAGCCTCCTGAATGCCTCATCAGAAACGTTCTCCCAAGTTAAATGAGTGTGAAATAAAAGCCAGGAAGATATATTTCTTTCTTTCTTTTTTTTTTTTTTTTTTTTTTAGAAATGGTCTCCCCGGCCGGC